ACACTTAGGTCACAGTCACAAGAAGGTGACAAAAGACAGTCCACATAATAGATTTAGTGGGAAAAATCTGGAACAGCTGCAATGCTCGTCTCTCCCTCCCTTCCCCCCATGAATCCCTTTCACTCACACGGCTCCTCCTACACCCCCCCTCTCTCTCCACCAGGCGGCTGGCAATGAGAGGGCTGGTGGTACTGACTGGCAAGAGGAAGGGTGGAGGCGGCAAGAGCGTTCGACTACCCAGCAGCAGCGCGGCAACAACAGTAGCAAGCGGCGCATAACGGGCGACAGCAGGGCAACAGCAAGGCCACCAGCAGCGAGCAGGGAGCAGACGGGCAACAGTGCAGGACGGAGGCCACGGCAGCCAGTGGGTTCTGGGAGGCAGCAGCACAGAGTGGCAGTTAGTTGGCAATGAGAGGGCTGGTGGCAGTTACTGGTGAGAGGAAGGATGTAAGGGGGTGAGAGGTGCATTGGCAAGCCGGCGGGCAGGAGCAGGAGGCGGGCGAGAGTGTTCAACTATCCGGCAGCACCGGGGCAACAGCAGGGCAACAGCATGGCCGATCACAGCTAGCAGGGACTCAGCGAGCAGCAGGGTGACTGCGCAGGATGGAGGCAGTGGCAGCAGCACTTCGTGGCAGTTCCGACAGCGAGACTAACCACCACCTTGGAATGTGCGGCACAGGGCCCATAGAGCAAGGAGATTATAGCTGTCAGTATTCGTCGTTCAGTGCACTGAGGATCTGCAGTGACCGGGAACTTGAATGGGGAGGAGTACCAATCGTAATAGATTGTGGAGATTCCCACTGTTGACTCAAGGATCATCCAGTGGGAAGTCCTGCTTCCAGCACAAGCCGAAACTGGGTAATGGCCCCGGTATTTGTACGGGTTGTCTGTGTAGGACTCCCAGCTCCTTTCTGACTAATAAAAAATGTGCTTTCCGGCGTTTCCGGTCACAAAACAGAAAACAAAACCACTGTATCTGAGCAACTGCAATGTACGTCCCTCCCTCCCTTCTCGCCCATGTATCCCTTGCCCTCGCATGCCTCCTCCCTACACCCTCTCTCTCTCTTGGCAGCGGAGCAGAGTGCAGCAGTTGGTGGAGAGCTTGCAGGGAGCGACAACCAGGTGGCCCAGCACATCGAACGGTGAGAGGCGGTGAGCAGGACAAAGGCTGCGGTAGAGAGTAGGTTGCGGGAGGCAGCAGCAGCGAGTGGCAGGCAGTTGGCAATGAGAGGGCTGGTGCCAGCGCGACTGGCAAGAGAAAGGGTGGCAGTGCGCGGGAGGCACGTTGGCAACCAGGCGTGCCAGAGCAGGAGGCCGGCAGGAGCGTTTGACTACACAGCAGTAGCGGGGCAACAGAGGCAGCATCTGGCGCTCTACGGGCGATAGCAGCGAAACAGCACGGGCGCCTGCCGCAAGCAGGGAGCAGTGGGGTGGCAGTGCAGGACGGAGGCCGTGGCAGCGAGTGGGTTGCGGGAGGCAGCAGCACTGAGTGGCAGTCCGTTGCCAATAAGAGGGCTGGTGGCAGCGACTGGTGAAAGGATCGGTCGAAGTGGGTGGGAGGTGGGTTGGTGACCATGTGGGCGGGAGCAGGAGGCGGGCAAGAGCATTCGACTACCCAGCAGCAGTGTGCAACAGCGGCGCAAGACAGATGACAGCAGGGCAACAGCACGGCCGCCTGCAGCAAGCAGCAGGGTGACAGTGTCGTTAGGCAAACTCTCTCTCTCTCTCTCTCTCTCTCTCTCTCTCTCTCTCTCTCTCTCTCACACACACACAC